GGGGGGGGTGTCTGGATTGTCAAGATATGTCCACCTTTTCCTCTAGTGACTGAGAACAGATGTTCAAGTTCATCTCGATATCACTGTAAGTAATCCTCCATTGCAATTCACAATGTCTGCCACAAGACCTTGCAAAGCAGTGATGAAATGGATCCACTCACTGACTCATATATTTATGCTTTTGCAACTTTCTTTTTGTCGTCTGGGCCAAACTTCAAGAATTCTCTTTCAACCACAGAAGTGTCTGGTCTGCTGCAAAAATTCATGGTGCTGTGATGTAGTTGTGACTGGGTACGATATTCGACAGAGAATGTAAGTGACCGCAAATGAAAACGTTGAAAAGATCATCAAAGTCATTACAGAAATCAGATATCAATGTCAAAGGATTAATTCAGAGATACATATAGTGTCCCAATTTAATTGCTTGTGATACACTGCTGCCACTAAGCACGTGCACAGCCAAACAAACCCTTTGTCGTCCAAAACTTGACATACAGTTGGTTAACTTGGGTGCCACTGCCACCCTGAATAAACCTAAGGTACTGTCTTTTTCATAGAAATTTTGAATAACTGCCCAGCTCGCAGTATTATCATGATGAGTAGACCCACAGCAATTGTGGTAGATCAACAAATTGTTTGTAATTCTTAATTAAGTGTGGAGGACCAAAAAGGACTGTGATTTTATCATCCTCGTGATGAAAAAAAAAAGGCTTTTCGGGGGTGAGACTTAGATTAGTGTTCTAAAACCGTCAGGTTGTATGGGCCTTGGTCACACGCAAGCCTTCACCTTCAAACCAACATATTATTTAAAGCTTTTAATGGCCTCTAACAATGGAACAACGAGCTGCACTACCCGCACCAGGTGCGCGCTGATAAGTAAGCAGGTCAGCGGTTGACCGTCGGTTGACGCGCAGACACTCCCCCCGGTAGTTTCGTGAGCTCGCACGCTTTTCGCCCCTTTGCTTTATCATGGTATTGCCAATTGCCAAGGCCTAGGCCTATGCCCAGAGAGCAGGCGAACACTCTGAATCACGACCACTACATTGCACTTTTGGCCTACTCGATCTAAGGTATACATCGAATAAACGGGGAGGGGGTTAGGGATAAACGTGAGGTGTGGACAAGTGGTTCAAAATTAATAAACGGGGGCGGGGAATAAAATAAAAGATAAAAGGAGGGAGGGGTGACACATCAGCTCAAACCCCTACAGTTTATTAAATCTGTTTTATTTCTCCTTCAGCGAATAGAAGAACAATTAGATTCTAGTGCTCGTGAAATTTTAGTTTTTTAAAGTAAGTTTAGCAT